ACACCAAAACAATAGAGTAATGTTGAATTCTTGCCGTCGGAGTCGGCGCTACGCGCTCTATCGGCCAAACGGCTGTTTGTAGGATTTTCACATATTTTATGGCAATTTTTTGTTACTTTTGGTTTTAAACCTGTGTCATTTAAAATAGTTGATTGGGAATAAACTAACCTGTACATTCTAACTGTACTGTTATTGCCCGCAGCAGTAATGGTAAACTGTTAAAAAATTGTTGTAAATTTAGAACACATTTGATGCAAAGTTTGATAGCAACAAATGTTGATAAAAAACAAAACATGTTTTAATCCAACAACATTCACAAAATTTTCTGAAACAATTTTTAATTTCAAAACAGTGGTCATTTACGTCTACCAGCACCATAAGTTTGTAATAACACAAACTGTTCGTTCTGTAACGATATATCTTGCTACTATCAAACATTCCAACGGTTTTGTTGTAATATTACAACATGGTAAAAAGTAGGAATCGTTGTTATGGACCACTACGGTCAAAATAGAAGGAACTTTGTCACATGCCAATGAAAACGAATGGTAGTGTTTTTTTAACAAGCTAGTCATCACAGAGAGTACGATAATTTGACAACTTTTTTCAACTGTGTATGGCTCTGAACCACCGTTTCGGACTTTACTTTCTTCTCTTGGGGTGTAATTTTACAGAAGTCAAAGGCTGTGAAGACACCCCGCAAAGTGATAGGGGCAAGAGAGGGATAGAAGGGAACAGTGTGCGCCATCAGAATGACGAGGGAGCGTCCAGGGGAGGCTGCAACTCGCTAATTCCGGCAAAATCGCAGTTTTTGAGTTAAAAAACGTTAAAAATTCATGCGCGACCTCTAAATTCAACTCAAAAAATCGGAAAAAAATCATTTAAGTATCTACTAGTCAGTCCGTTTACTGCGGCAATGTGTCCCGAGCACTTTTTGAAAACAGCATTTTTTTGGGACGGTCTAGCGGAGGGCAAGGGTGGAGCGGTGGAGGTGTCGGAAGGTGGCCGGTTGCCTCCCGTCACCTCCACCGCTCCACCCCTCGGCTTACACGCCTGCACGTCAGTGCGTTAGCAACCCATCGAGCTGCCGCGTACGAGCACCCGGTACAAACGAACAAACCCATGCTTCATTATTGCGACTTTGCGACATCTTTACGAAATCGTTTCGATACCGCTAAATAAATGTTTTCTCACTGGAATAGTTGTAATTTTTTTGTATGTTTGGGACTGTTTCATGTTTTCCCGGTTAAACATTTTGAATAAACTGTTTTTCATTAACAATTAAAAAAACAAACATGTTATTTGAATTTTTTTGGCATTGGTACTCCCAAGTAACAGAGATTAGTCAGAGTCAGGTATATATTAAATAACTGACGGATATTGGCTCATTTTTTTTTTCAAACAGGTCTCAGTATCGATAATAAGACTTAAGTAAAGATGAGAGGGGTGGGGGCGCCAAGTTTCATCCTGTGTAAAAGTGATTACCGTTTTAGTGACAGCAATAGATTTTGGCACTCGGTGCCTGCCTGCCGCACCTGGGGCCTGTTAAGTGTCCCTTTAGGATATCTAGCAACAATTCTGGCTGGTGTAACCCTTGAGAAATGTTCATCCCTGATAGGGGTGGGGGGAAATGGGGTAGGGGGTGGTTTTCCGCGGAGGGTGAAACGCTTCAGGACCATCAAGAAAGGGTCGAGAGTAGAGCGCACTCGCAAAAGAGCGTGATTCCTCGACCTCCTTCTACACTGTAAAAAATACCGTAGGCAGTTACGGTTTGCCTATGGTCCGTACCGTACTTTCAGCGTGCGGTCAGGCCGTAACAGTATGAACTTACTTTCCTGTTTGGGCTAAGAGCTGTATCCCAACATTTTTTCAACCCAGTGAGAAATGCGGATATCAAATTGACATCAGAACGATATCGGACATCAGAAAAGTGTCGATTTCGGGCCCATTCTTGTATCAGTTCTGAGTCAGAAACTTGACAACGATATCGTTCTGATATCGATTCGATATCGCTTGAAATTCATTTCGCACTGGGAAGCTACAGTCTGACAGTATGACGCGGACCGTAACTAAACTAGTCGTCACAAAACGAAAGGGAATGCCCAATGACCAGGATGACGGTCCGAAAACACTGTTCCCAACGTGATGGCTGCTGCTGGCACTACTACTCTGCACTGTTATCAACCTGGGCACGACTAAGAGGACGGGACGGAAGAAAGGCCACCAGCTCAGCAGGCGTGCTGATGTGGTGGCCTAACCTGACAATGTAAGGGGAGTAATGGCACTGCGGGCTTGCCTAGCCTGGAGTCCGGAGGCGGAAGGCCTCCCACTGCACGCCACGGCGGGTCGCGAACAACACTTCAGCCTCGCGGCCTGCGGTGAGCACTCGCACTCGCGCGAGCCGGCAGCCCAGCTGGCAGGTAGGCATAACGGCGGGCGCGCGCGGTGAGCGTTCAGGCGAGTGCTCATCCCCTGTAGAACTACAGCACCTACAGCGCCCATTAGGTGCCTTTTAAAAGCGCCTCAACACCGCCCCCAAACTTCGCAAGAAAATCGCCTTTCTTTTTGACCAAAAGACGATCGCAAAGCGCCCGAAAAGGCGCTTTTCTCGCGATGTTTGGGCGTGGTTTGGGGGCGGTGTTGAGGCGGGCAACTAATAGGCGCTCTGTAGGCGCTGACCGGCGCTGACGTTCCGGTGGGCTCTGTAGTGTATGGTGGTGCCCCCTATGGTGGAAACTGATGTATGCTAACACTGTGAGTGCCGATAAAGGACAGTACTGAACAGATACCCACAGAGTATAGACCTCTCCCCAGACCTCCTGTTTCGTGCCGGGTGTCCAGGCTAGGG